AAAGTTCCATCCTGTTACCAATACCATTAAAGATTTTAACAAGAAAAATAAAAAATAAATAGATTAACTTATTCTTGTGATAAAATATCAATTCTAATTAATTTCACATATTATTGTTTCAAAAGCACTGGTCGAACGGCACTGTACAGATTCTGGAAATAGGGATCACCGAAACGAGAGCTAAATAAATCACGTTGTTGTACACCTCCAGTCGAGGTAAATTGGATTATTTTAATCATTACCCATTAGGAGTGAAACGATTCACCGCGATTATGGTGAACCGCGATTACTTGCTCCCGATTCGATTCTCGATTTTACAACTCTGATATTTCGATTCGATTCTTACAAATTCTGTCCGTGTTTGACTTTACATTTAGACGCACCCCTAGTCCTGTTAAAACGCAGATTTTGATTGGCCAACACACTTTGCGTAGGCCAATCAAATTGCGCGTTGCTGTTACTGCAAACTACTGCAAACATGGAGTACGAGTTAGCCGACCCGCCCGCATCATATAAATCTCCCGTGTGGAAACACTTTGGGTTTCCAATCGTCGACGGAAAAACGGAAAAAAATGTCACTATTTGCAAGATATGTTATTTAAAGATGTCATACAAAGCTGGCTCGACGACAGCAATGAACGCACATCTAAAACGTAAACACAATGTGGACTGTGATAAAGCTGCTTCGGTCAGTTCGGAGTCTTCCGCTAACAACGATCGTCGGTCTGAACAAAAACCAGAACATGTTGATATGCTCATTTTCCTAGCAAAAAACTTTGTAGTTTAAATGCATATGTGTTTACTCTTTATTGCTTTAAGTGAAGTTATCACATTATAGTAATTCCAGTTGAACTTTCNAAAAGTTGTTTGGACATATGAGGTAAATAATTCCAGAAACTCTTGAGTCATATAAAATGCAAACAATACTTTCCGCACAATTCTCAAACATGGTATTGAAATAATATATCAGGTAACATTTGGCGAGACAAGTATATAAAAATCATATGCATAACATCAACAAGTTACTTACTCTTTCTTGAGCATTGTGAGACGGGTAAATATACATTTCAAAATCATGATGGTCCGTTAGGTAAAAGCACACACACGTGTTTATTTTCTTTTGCAAAGCGGAGGTTAAGAATTCAGAAGGGAACGTAACTCTATTCTAGTGCTCTGAACAATTTGGCCCACAAGTGCGGTAACAATACCAAAATCTTTGATAATTATAAGTTAAATACAAATAATAAGTTACAGCTTAAGGTAACGATTTCTTTTTAGCTTGCGTATATAAAATCTTTATAAAACTTCGTTCCTCAAAAATGTAAAGCCTTTGTTAAAGAAAAATATAATGTTTATGCTCCAAATGAGATTATTTTGGAGCATCTTAAATCTAATTTTTGCCTATCCAAACTTAATAGAATTCTACCGTACTTGAATTAAATCTGAAGGTCGAAAAGATAACAAGTGGGAAAACTACAAATTCTGTGTCTCACACGTTACTTGGAATAAGATGTTATATTGCATTATAAACATAAAAAGGGTATAACACTAATAAACACAGAATAATTTCATACAAATGAATATGAATAAATTCAGTATACAAGAATTAAAATATAAAAATACATGTAAAAAGAATTGCTCACCTGTAAAATTACAATGGAGACAGCCTGATAAATTTGATGTGTCTTTATTCTGGTCGTAGCTTCAAGTGGTTAGCTGTACAAGCGACAGGTAACTTACTCAGATGCCCCCAATGTTGGTGAGGTTCCAGGAGGGTTATTTACAGTATTTTCTATATGAAGTATAGGTAATTTACCTTTGAGGGGCCTCAACAAAAACATATATCCAGTCGGACCTTATTGCTGATTGGTCGGATCTTAGCGTGGGTTCGGACAAAGAAATTTGTGAAAAACACCAATCTGGAAGTAAGGTTACGTAAGAGCACCCAAGTCCTAATTGACTCTAACACGGCCGATAATTCTTTTACAAAGAGACAAAGATAGAGTCGGGACCGGACGTGAGTTCTTAATTGAAATGACAAAAGGGATTATGAGAATCTAACAGAGTCGCCGAACCGAACAAATAATCTAAATGTGGGAAACGTAAATCTTGTTTGCCAAACTGTTTTAGAGCTCAATTAACGTGGCTAAGTATGTGGTTATTTAATTTGGGGATTATTGTTTGTAAAATGTTTTACGAAAATATTCCAAATAGTAAAAAGATTACGAAAATAATCCAAATAGTAAAAAGTTCCAAAATTTCATTGCAATAAACAAGTTTATGTATTTTTATGTAAGTTATGAAAAATGTAAAATATCAGTATGATATATCCCTCCTGGTTGGGAGCATTCGGCAAGTGTTACTATCGATGAGGGACTCGCCGACGACCTGGGACGATTTCACCAGCTTCTCCACTTGCAACGGACGCTAGTGTAGATTCTAGAAGACAGTGAATTATTCTGTTCTGTTGAAAAGGACCTGTTATAGATCAGGTGTTCATTAAAAATGTTTGTGGCTGGAGTTAAGACACGATGTAATTTAGACGCGGACTTAAATTTCTTTAAACAGGGTGATTACATGTTGATAATATCAGAAAAAGGATTATTAAAATGTATTTACATGCATTTTAACCGTTGATAGACAATCTCGATTTGTTTTGGTTTGGTTGTGTGCGTGTGTGTGTGTGTGTGTTGATGGGGTAAAAAAAGGGGGGGGGGGGTTCAGAGGTCATGTAACGGTACATGTAGTACTGTTGATATTACTACACACTTGCTTTTATTGAATCATGCAAACATTTTGAGTTGGTACTATTATCTAGAGGCACTGCAACACGAATGTAAATAGTGTGGTATAGCTGCATAATATGTGGGTCGACTTTAGTAAATGTATTGTCAACACTACTATGACGTGTGTTAACAGTGACGTCACAGTCGTGTAACAACATGTTGTGAGCGTCAATTCATCCTTTCACAAACAGCAAAATACGTATGACTGGGTACATATATACGGACTTATCAGTATCAACTGATGTCATTTTGAAGGTAAGGACAAATAACCAAGCGCAAGTACTACATTGAAACAATTTTCAGTTCGATAAAATGAAAATATCAAAATTATATGTGGGACATCGAAGGATTTCATCAGTAACATCGACTTTTAACAAAAATGTAGAATTGTTTCGGACATTCCCGTACTTTCAGTACATGTGTTGCTATAACGGCTCGTACCGGTGTGAGATTTCCTTGTCTCACCCTAGGGTTGAGACGGGGATTCCCCTATTTTTTTCGCAAATGTATGCTCAACGTGGTCATGATGTATTTATCCAAGAATTACGCAGTGCTTTTGATGCATCTTCAAAATGTTATTTGAACAAGCATCTTGTTGATACCTTTTGCGTCCAGTTCTATCTGACTAAGCCCATTAATTTAAGGGTAAAAAAGTTATTGAGTCAATTTCGCATGCAAGCACACAGTCTTAACATAGAATCTGGGTGCTATAATAACATTCCAAGAGGTCAGAGAATATGTACAGTCTGCGATAAAAATGATGTCGAAGATGAAGTCCATTTTGTACTACTTTGTCCTGCATATTCTGATTTAAGAAAAACATACACCAAACAGTATTATTATCGACATCCAAGTGTGTATAAAATAATAGAATTATTTACCTGTAAAAGTGTTAAATCTTTAAAAAGACTGGGTAAATATTTGTGGCACGCTACTGCCAAAAGGAAAATCCTCCTTGCTCAGTAGTGATATTATATTAAAATATCATTTGAAACTACCTTGCTATAAATGTACATGTATAATAATAATTCTTTAGTATTCGTTTATAGCGCGTTAAATAGTACATTAATGACATCCCATGGTTCTTTCTGGCTGTTTGAAGTTATATGTAGCGTTTTCATTATGATGTCATCATTTCATGACGTCACATAAATACATGTAGTTTATACTATCCTTTCCACAACTTTACGAAAAATCATGCTGTAAAACTGCACATGATATCATTATTACATGTATGTAGGCATATATATATTTGAATGGAATTGACCTCCGCCATCTTGTACATAATATTTAATTATGAATGTTTGTAACCTATTCCGTCTTTGCGTAGTGCAGAGTTATCTTCTCTTATGAGCAGGTACTGATTGTTTCGTCATTGATTATTGTGATAAAAATACGT